GAAGGTAAACTCAAGCTGCTGGGTCTGGGCGCATTTTCCTGTTTGCAAGTGCTTGATTACCAGCCCACATCTCTCACTTTGAAATGAACCTATTTCCCGACTACGTGTACATGTACCTCCTTTCCACTGAATATTAAAATTTTTATAGACAAACATGAAGTTGAGTGCGGGATCGGGGCGTCCATACTGCTGACAGTACCACCCAGTTTACACCAGTATTTGAGCCAATACATGTACAACATGTACAGTCATGTACATGTTCACGGTTTCGGCTTCGGCACTTTCGGCTACATTTGCTTGCTGAACATGTGTGATTAGAGCGCATGATGCACTCAGGTAACCCGCCTTCCCCATTACTGTCTAAATGCGTTCATGTTCATGTTTATGTATGTACGGGATCATAGTGTATTGCACATGCTGGTAATTAAAGTAAAAAGCGTGCGCGAGTAGTAAAATATCGATACTTTAGTTAAAACTGCTCTCTGGTTGCCCTGGAAAGCCGAAACTGCAACAGAGTTGGTCATTGCATAGTAGGTACACGGTTATCATTATCTCAACCGAAGTCTACTGTGGCAGTGAAGAAGTGGCCGGACAGGCCGGTGACTAGTGCTGTGTAGTATGTACGCGACTATACATTATAGTGATGTTGTGAATGTGGTCCCCGTCCGCCGAGATTGAAATGAGCCAAATGTTCATGCAAGTCGCGCAATAGACTTGAAAGAGTTAATGGCCCCGGTTGAATTCGATCCTAGGAAATTCGAACGCAACTGACAATGAAGCCGCTGTTTCTTCTCAGCTGGATGCTGGCGTAGGTAGCAGACGCGTCAATTAGATTATGCTGAACGATTACTGAATGAATGGACTAATGAAGCTGATGAAGGACCGCCATACAGCCCACCGCCGAACTACCATCACGTACATGTATAAACTTACTTTTATACATTATTACATGTACATGAGGTGTTACACGGTCCTACCCTGGGGGCGAGTAGCATTGTTCTGACCAAGAGCACATAATCAGATTATCATTCTACTCTTTGCTGTTACACATCGCAGGCATGAATGAAAATACGTACCGGTACAAGTGTCCCCCACTGTGCGGCGTTCTCTTGGTACACAGTGACGCCCAGTACAGTATTCTCACCAACGCAGTGCATGGTACAAGTTAATCACGCAATATCCTATACGTACATGTACAATGTACATGTCATTGTACTTCGAAGATACGGCACACAACGCTGCGAGGGGGGGGGGGGGAGACAAGAATATGTAGACTTTAAACTGCACCAAACTTGACACTCTTTAGAAGATCTGTCAAGCCATGTTATGGTAGGAAATGTAAAAACTCACTAATACTAGTAATAGGCTGCAAAACATGCCCGCACAGCTGACGATACGGAGGAAACCAGACATTACTCTAAGTGTGTTCAAGTGTGAGGGGTATGGTTGCTTTGTACTCTCTCAATCTGACCAGGGAGAACCAGGAAAATGTTGAACGCGAACGTCTCCCGAATCCTTGAGCCCTGGCATAGCAGTGCTACACTTTGCCCGCTAGTGGACACGACATGGTAGGAACATTGTATGGAACGCAGAGAAGGCGTACGTGATGATAACTGTTACCTAACTGGTGACCGGTATGTGATGTTGCTATGGGTAACAGAGGTACTGCTCGGAGCGTATTGTTATTAGCGAGTAGGCATGGGCGGGTAATGCTAGCATTATGGCTGGCATTATAGTCCCTTTTTTCCAGGTGGCATAATGCTGGCATTAGCGGTGTCATGCATGAAGCTGGCTAGGTCCAGTTCCGAAAATCGTGCATCTGAACCCGTCCGGCTTCGTCCGGAGACTTGACGTTGCAAATCAACCTTCTCAGTGGATTGTTTCAGACAACATGCTCATTGCTGTTTAAGTTTTTTTCTTCTACGCTTTGGCCCTGATCCAAGATGGCCTTCTTAAATCGACTTTTCCAACTTTCAAACTGGCATTATGCAGTAGTGTGAGCATTGTAAGTGGCATTATATCTTCATATTATGAGCATTGCCTTAAGCATTATCGCAGCAAATAACTCATGACTGCTTGCTCCGCTAGTATTGTCTTAAAGCGATCACGTTTTATTGGGGGTTATTATAGCCTGAACTTGTAACTGTTAACAAATTGGAACAAGACAATTGGATGTTACAACAAGCTTTAAATCCAGATCCCTCAGGCATCTATGCTTACGGAAGGCACTATTTCGGGGCCCAAAGCCCGAATTCGATTTTTGACCCCTCTGAGGGTGGTCTGCCTACAAGTACAATGTGCGTGTATTGTGTCACTGTGTGTGCATGTGTGCGTGGCAAGCTGCGATCAGCGAAAACGTGACCTGTCATGCCCTGTCCGGACACCTGCCGTCCTGATTGACACCCGTACTGCAGCGTACCACTTGTCGCCGAACAAAACGAAGATTACAGTCGCGAGGACGACTGTCTTGGGCGGTCCTCGCAAGCAAAACAATCTCAGTGGCTGCGTGTGGGCTATACTCTTGATGCAGCCACGTGCATGATAACATGCATGATGTAATGGCACCGCAGAGGCATTCTCAGTACGCTAATCAAGTAAGTACTTAAAAACACATTCAAAGGATTAGAACAGAGGTGAAGCTCAACATTCAAAGGAATTTTCAATTATTTTGTTTTAACCTCCGCCAATGGCAAGGCTAACTTATCGTAACTATTCTGATCACGCACCCATTCGCCTACCTATCACGATGTGTACACGTACGTATACAGGTAGGTGCCTATGAGATTTCCATCGCCAGTCTAGGTGCTGTATTACCCGTCACAGTGTAGCTATTGGTGATCCGGCATCACTCGTGCACACGAAGCCGGCGTAGGAGATCATGACTCAGGAGCACTGCAGTGACGAGAAGCCCGTGCGTGTCTGCCTCTCGCTGACACGTATCTATCGCCTCTGGGCAGACAGGTACGCTGTCAAGAGAAGTCCTCAACAAACTGTGCCATTTCACCTCAACCTCCGTGATTCGCCATGGCGCTATGAAGCATGGACCAGAAACGTATGATGAACATATCGCCCCTAGCAAAGGACCCCCAACACCGGGCGCTTTGTCAGCTTCTTTGTTTTCTAGCCTAGACCCCAGGCACGGAGAAGACGTGCCCATGGGCTACGCATGGAATGTACCAGTCGAGGAAAACACGTTAGTGTGCATGCACTCCTGCCACCGTATAACCGACCCTGACATGTTAGTAATAATACTTATACTGTTCACTTGCTCAGTATTATGTCTAGGAGATACTAAGAGAAACTGAGATAGGCGTAGCACATCTGAATGGTGAACCCGATCCCAATACGCTTGCAGCCTTCTATTCGGGCAGATCAGATCAACACAGCCCACCCATCACCATAGTTCAAGGTGACACGTAAATATTTGGTTGCTGTCAGTGCGAGGTAACAACACGGACAAGGACTGCGTAGTTCACGATCACACCATTGTCATTGGCGCAGATCTACGCCCCGTGGAACGTGTGGGGACACCTCAAGTCAGTCAAGACCTCCGTGTGTGGACTCCTGACTGAGTTCAACAATCGGTTAGCAACTACCTTGTAACCACAACAGACGCAGTTTCTGCAGCAACGAAACTTCGAGTCGTAGACATCGGAACTTGGGCCACTGTGGCACCACCATCATAGGAAACTGCCAGAGGTTTTGCGGGCAGCAATCGACACACACACTAGTCATTGTACAATTATACATCTTGAACTCTAGTTATCATTCTGTGCATCTTGTCCTCAGCCTTGCAATCAGTGACTGAACCCTGCGCAGCCCGCGGCTACAGTAGTGACATGGTTTTCTCGTGACTCATTCCCCTTTGTAACTTCACTGTATTGACTATTGTATCTCCAGCTCGCTTCGTGTTTCAGGGCAACGGATGTTCCCAAGACGAGTGTATTGTTTTCCAAGACAGGAGAGAACAATGCTGCACTGCTTCTGGGCAGACCACCCACTGGTCACTGAACTACTGTATGCGGTCTCCAGCGTGTAGCAGAGCGGGGGTGGCGGTACGGTTGATGTTGATTCGTTCAAAGACAGGGCGGAATGATGATGCGTTTTAAAAAGAGTTGCTGATTAAATTATCACACACCACGCTTAAACTGTTCTAACACTGCTGCAAATCAACCACGCCATTTCGCATTGGCTACATCCTGTCTCCTATCCCGATCTAGAGGCAAATACAGGCACGGTACCAAGAGTTTCCGCGTGTACTTCAAAGAACGCTTTCTTGCTCCAAGAATAGTAAGGATCAGAGCAGTGCTCAAAGGGTTGGATTAACATTCGCCATTCAATGAATTCGTCTAAAAACAGCCGTAACGGGTAACATATTGCAGCAGCCCGCATTGTCACTAGTAAAGCATGCGTTGGGTTCTATCTTCTGAGCCATTAGGGTGATGTAAGTGAGTGTGCTGTGTGCTTCATAATGCACTGCCAGCGAGGCCCGGGTGCACTGTCGGGGGGTTGCCAGCAACTCAGCGGAGGTAATGCTCTCCCGCTGCGAATGGCGGTGATCAGTACGACTGTGGAAACCATAATAGCCGATATCAGTGTGCAACTAGGCTGAACTAAGGACGGTGCGCGGCTGGCACCTGTCAACGCAGCCTCTGCAGGGAGGGAAAGGCAGAGACATGGAAAACCTACTGGCGTGTCGAGGCCAGAGCTTTTTATGGCTATTCCAAATGCCCAGACAAGCCTGGTCTAATGTACGTGCGTGCATGGCTGTACCTCATGGAGCGCAAATTGCCTGAAACGAGCACGATCTATCCTTTCCTTTCACTGCTATGTCCTAGATTGGAGATTTCAGTGCTGCGAACGCAGCTTTGACCATGGGCCAGCAGCAGAGGTACTGGTATGTTCTGCCAGCATTTAGCCTTCTCCGGAGCTTGAATCACGTTCGCACACAAATCCACAGTTGTGTGACGTCCAGGATTGTCGATCGTCATTGGGCTAGCTACCTCCATAGATGCCCGCCTCGGAGCAAAAGAGGTCGTCGAGCAGCCTCCATGCACTGCCCTGCCGAAGCCCACAACCTCTGCATAGCACTGCACGGGTGCTGCGAGTTGACGCTTATGCTGCTGCGAAACAGTGGCAGTCTCCTGCACTGTGATTGAATGATACTTGCAGCAAGCAGCCACTGATAGCCTGGTCAGGAAGGGGTTATAGCGCTAGAAACGAGAAGAGGCTGAAGTACTCTCAACGACTTTTAGTAGTCCGTGTCATGAAGTAACGGTCTCACTATTCCTCTAGTGTTGTTGATAGAGGGTTGCCTGGTGTAATTCACTGAGCGCTCTTTATATCTTTGAGCCGTATAGTGGTGCTAGGCATGCTCGTTCATAAGACTTCTAACATCCACTGATTCAGGGGCTGCTAGCTAATCACCGCCCAGACACACACAGAGTAGTATTCGTGCACTTAGTGGGTGCCAGGGAGAATCAAGATACCGCATTGTTTACTGCATTACTTAGCGCAGCACTAGCTGAGTTGCAGTTCTTCCATTACTCAGCCATCAGTACTGCAGATTACACTCTCCCCGCGTACAGCTGCAAGTCCGTCTTCGTGGCGCTGGGGACCAGATTTGGACCATCCATTTTCAGGCAGATAAGACATCCGCTGGGACGCATTTTGACAGACCGACCTCTATTTTTCCCACCCTACTTGCCATAGTGTTAGCATCCTGCGGAGAGCTGATACAACCTCTCTCCCTGAAGTTAACGGCTCTGCGGAGAAACAGGACCAGCTGTCCATATATGGATGTTGTTTTGGAGACGACCACGGAGAGTTGACACGCTTTTCGCGCAGTGTTGCGGTTAGTGGAGTTCGTAGTCTATAACACTATGTTGCTTCTGTTATTTTATCAGGTGTTTCTGTCAACAAGTCCACCCGTTATTTGAAATCAACACATATGTCATCTCCTGCCTAGCATCTTTGAAATGCCTGGAAATAAATTTCTTGTGCAATAGCGAGCGTTCAGTGTCTCACCCACGTAGGCTGCATATTCACTAGAACACGTCCTCTGTTCTGCCCATAGATTTGTCAATGCATGTATGCAGGGTAGTTGCAATATCACTTGAGTGTCCAATGCAGGCGTGGGATTGCTGCTGCAAGAGCATATCCTAGCAAGACTCAGCTAATCTTGAAATCAAGTAGGACGGTGACAAGACGTATTTGTCCTGCTGACAGAACTTGACTAGCAACGTAGTGTGCTAGAAGGAACTCTGTCAGATTGTCACCAGTGCTCAGTCCACAGTTCACACATCCTAGCCCATTACTTTAGCAATTCTCTAAAACAAACATTCGCCTGCTTCAAGAGTTGCTTGTCGTCGCGTCACGCTGCCACTCGTAACACATGCCTGAATGCGAGAGAGAAAGGGAGATTCATTGATTTAATTAATACCTCTCTTGCCTCTTTTTGTGCTCGTGTGCTTTGCCCTCTCTAAATCAGACTCGCTCTCATTGAGGTGGTATTTGCGAATGTGCACGCGACGACGACAGGCCAGAGGAGGGGCACTTCACACCAGCTACCTGCATTCTGCGTTTCATACTGTCAGTATCAACCCAGAGTGACTGAGTCCAGGACGCAGTGGAAGGATTCTGAGCCACGGCAGCCTTGAGTTGCGCTCGTTGGTCGGTTGTAGCACTTCTCCGCCTGGCTCAAGTGCTGGCAAGCCGATATCTCTACCTCTCCCTTATGGATCGCGTATAGACACGTTAGTAATAGTAACCTAACCAACACCCCACAACACAAACCCGGCAAGCCAGGCTGCTGCTGCTGCTGCTGCTGCTGCCTCTACGCCACAACGTTCTGTAAGTAAACAGGCAACAAATCTGCACATCTGTGACCACAGCACTGCACAGCTCCTAGGCTTGACCCGCCAATCCAGCTCATCGGACAAAGTGCAGCTACATCCGATGAGTGCAGAGTTCCGAGCGTGGCATTATAGTTTTGTTAGTTTTCGCCACACCACCTCTCCAGTTAGCCCACGGCTGTAGCACGTTGTCCCATTTGAACCTTGGCTGGCTAGCTGGCTGCGGTTGAGCCTGCTGGTGCTCCGTGTCTTCCATTCAACATTCAGTACGGCTGTGAGAAAGTACTCCCGTGTATATCACACTTGAATGCTTCGTACCCGCCTCGTCTCAACCACCGGCCGCTATCCAGTCCAGACACCATCCGCGCACTCGCGAGTGACGTCACACTTCGGTGAACCCTGGCATTCATTTCTGGGTGTCCGCAGGTCCGCAAGTGTTACTGCTGAGTCCGGTGCGGTATTGACTGCGGGACGGCTCACTGGGACTCTGCCAAGGCGCTGGCCATCTGAATTACATCGCCTCGACCAGAATAGCTCTCGATATATATTTCCGTTGCGCATTCGTTGACCATAACAGTCCAGCGAATCTTGGCACCAGCACGAGCAGAATTCTGGTCAACTACTAGTTTCGCTCCGTAACATATTCAGTATGTCTGAGGCACGTGGAGGATTCCCCGTTCAACCATGGTCATGTCGAGGTCAGTCACCATCCAGCCGTGACCGAACAGAACATTGCTGCTACCGCAAGAGAGACCACCTGAGCACTATTACTAGCTGTAACCGTGACCGCTGCAGAGCCAGTTTCAGACAAGAGGCACGGATCACAATCGCTAACACTCGTGGCAGCAGCACGGGAATCAGCTGTGACAGTAATGTTGGCAGACAGCGCGGCACGTGGCGAGGGAGCTACAGGAGCGAGACACCTCCGGCCTACTGGCACAGTCCTGCCTCTGCTGCGCCTGTCTCCGTCTCTGGCTGTCTCAGCACGGGCTGTTTGCTAGTTATCATGTGCACGATGCTGTCGTGTCTAGAGATGAGCGCTGCAAGATCTGTGCCTCCAACGGCTGTCACACACTCGTCATCTCATGATGGGATACTGTCGACGAGCCCGGTGGCCGTGCAGCCCTCTCTCTCTTCACGATCAGGGCCGCAGCACGGAAGCGCTCTCATTTCAGCAAATCAGCAGACTTCTTCAGAGCCGTCCAACGATGGTCAGGAGCTGAGTAACAACAAGAACATGTCTCAGGCAGCACTCCTAGACATCAGCGAGCGTGGTGCTGTGCTGCATGAGAACCCAGCGCTACATCATGATCAACAACCTGACAGTCATGTTGTGCAGGCAACCGTCAAAGCCATAACATCATTTCGCCATTTATTACTGCCGGATGAGCACGCAGATAGGAACAGCACGCCAGAAGAAGAACGTATAACTTCAAGTGAGCGCCGAGTATCACCTCTAACTACGGATCTCATCTCCCAGTTAGAAACCCCAACAGTAGCGCTCACAGCACATCGTACATCATTGGCTGATGACATTGTCAAGCTAAAGGACACCAGCTCAGCGGGAAGAAATGTGGGACTGAACTCCGATGATCATATAGTGCCGGCACAAACCGTGTTGCCCAGTCTGCCGAGATTCAACTCCTCTCTGTCTTCCAGCCCACGGCCAGCTAATAACCGCTGTAAACTGGTACAGCGCACCGTGGAATTCCAATTTCCCCCAGGCTGCGTGGAGTATTACAGCGGACGTAGGAACTATCAATTGCACATGCAGACGTGCTCAGGGTTTTGTAATAGTGAGGTAGCGCTCAAGGCAGTACCCATCACGGCTGACAGTGACGAACCGATAGTTTATCAAGATTTGTTCAAACCAAAGTGCAAATGTTGCAAGGAGAGATCATTGATACTGAAGAAGGAGATCTGGATGAAGTGCAGACGCCGCAGCGAACCCAGGGTTATGAGTGCATTCGAGCCGGAATCATGCGGATGTAAACGCTGCAGATAGAGATCCAGGCAACATGAAAGCAGTATAGTGCTAAGTTCAAAACTGATCTGATAGATCTTGGACACGGTCCCAAGGGATGTCTCAGGAATTCGCGTGTTGCGGGTTACTAATATGTGAGTGTGTGTGTGTGTGTGTGTGTGTGTGTGTGTGTGTGTGCTTTGTATGTAAGGCGTGGCGCTATAACGCCAAGGTTGTAAAGCTTTTTACGTTCACTATGGCGATGATGATGATGATGGTAGTTATTAGGTTTTACAGGTGACTGGGGACACCTGGGCTATGGCTTGTAATGCCACTTCACCCTGTCACGTCATCATTATTATTATTCACATTCTACTTGGACTATATCAGTGTTTTCGGACAGACGAGAAATAGTATTCCTTCTTGATTTCTTGAGCACACCAGCCACAGCCACAGCCCCGTACACACCCTCGGAATCATGCTCCGCTCAATTTGCCCCAAGAAGAAATCTTGATCTATTCTCACTATCATATTCTAAACCCAGATTATAAACATTATAATTATTCACAATCCTATGCAGATATTTCCATATGCCTTTTATGGCTTACTAAGGAGTTTATACTTTCTGTCATGCCAAGCAGTTGCATTTATGTTTGCCACAATGAGACGCCCTTCGCGATGCAACCCTATTTGGTTGCCAGAACCCATTGAACCATCTCTAAGGATGTTCATATCTATGCCCTGTCGCAGTGTCTTGAATGTGTGTGTGTGTTAGCGTACCTGGGCGTCAGCATGTGTTTCAATGGACATTTGGGAACCTCCTGACTTCTCATGTCTACGTGTACATCAAATTATTTTTGTACTATTTAATTGTGCGGGGCATAACTTCTGGCTGTAGTGTCTGCCATGCCATACACAGCGCTAGAAACTTATAACCCCCACGGAGAATTGATTTGCGGTCTGGAAATGTCCGCAATTCCACCGGAGGTTTTCTATGTTGAGAAACACCCTCCAAGTAGTAGAACATTGTCCAATGTGTCTGGATCGCCAGATGTGAATGAACGGATGGAGATTACCATTGAACGTAGGCAAGTACATGCAACATAGTGTTCTGCCTGTGGAGGCCTCTGCTCATCTGCGTTGGGCGCGTCCGACGTCGCGCCTGTTGGTGCTTATGCTCACTGCACTGTTGTGTACAGTCACTTGTCTTTGACGGCACACCGCTGAGCACTCGTCAGCTTGTCCACGTTGAACGACGCGAAAACTACACGAGTGCTGGAAAAACGGTAGATCGAGGAGAGGCAGTAAGTGCCTAGGCCTAAGATAAACATGTCGTGCAAACTCACTTTTGCTCCGCATCTTCAAAACCGGCTTCCTTTGAAGCGCTTCCGGAAATCAAGTACTAGTAGATCTACCATAGTGAACACTGGTAGAGATGCACAGCATTCAGAGCTGGATGATCCTAGCAGGTCTGCTATGGCACGAGACTGCGTCCTGGCAGGAGCTTCGCGCGAGGATTGCGTAGAGCAGGAAATCGGGTACCGCAAAGGCCTACGACCGAATCGCGCTGCAGCAGCCCCAGCTACAGCCATGGGCGCGTACATTCCTGATTCTTGACAGGGGTGAAGCCAAGAGCCTATCAGAATCTAGCAGGGCGCTACGGATGGATTCAACTGAGTATTGCAAGAATAATGGTGCACACATTCCTAGCGAGCCAAGCAGACTTCTACTACTAAAGTTCTAGGCAACATTCCGATGTACACGTACATGTAGGGTTGCCGAGCGCCTGCAAGACTCCAGCGGCCTTTGTCCAGAATCGCCACAGAGAACATAATTATTTTCATCGTCCTATTGGCATGGCCGAGGCTTTACACCGCTTATCTCTAACTAATACCATTAACTAGGACTGTAGTCGCAGACCTTGTTTTCCGTGTTTTTGATCAAAACACATGACGTCGTTAACCTAATCAGATTGATCTCTGCTCTCCTTTCCCGTTTCCAGAGTCAATATAACTTCGTGCTGCTTCTTATCAGTTGGGCCTTGCTCAGCAACGAAGTACAACGTATATATGAAACTGATCCTGCAATCTGCAAGCACCGACCCCTATTGTTCAAGTTGTCTGGCTCCTTTCTTTGACAGCACTCCATCATGCTCAGATTAGCATTTCAGTGAGCAGCCCAGCTGTAATACAAGCTGCCGCACGGGCGAGAACAAGATGTGCCGATATTGCCAGCGACATCACCACATTGTCTGCCATTGCAAATGCATCTACGAACCGCGCCGAAGACCTTCCGATCTGTGTAGAAATGTTTCGTAATTGACACGATCATTGAACGTGTCGACCGACTTCTGCATCGTCATCACGTTCGATTCTCGCTGCGTGTGTTTGACATTTCTCATGGGGAAGAGCTACAAAAGGTGAAAAGAACCCAATACAAACACATTCGCCATATTGGTCCATGGAATTTACAATGTGACATGGGAAATGAAACACAGAGGTGGTCATTCTAGTTAAAACCTGTTTGGTTGAATCGCATCTGAAATCGTTTCATACATCACGTACATACATGTAGAGTGTGCATGCAGTAATAAAATGAATTAATGGGCATTTTGTGTACCGACTAGTACGAACCATCACATCAACAGTACATACATGTATTTGTACAGCCTGTGGATATTTCTGTGGCACAAGAAGAATACCATATTTGGTGGAGAAACACAGCCACCAATTCACTGTCACTTCGTCCGTTCCACTGAATTCAGAATTTTCGGACGCCTTCTGTTAACCAATTCACTGTCACTTCGTCCGTTCCACTGAATTCAGAATTTTCGGACGCCTTCTGTTAAACATGCTAAGGCTTCTGCCTTCCTCGGAATGAGAATATAACCACACGCACACGCACAAACACATGTGCACATGTACATGTACATGTACATGTACATGTACACATGTACACATGTTTTTGTGTTGACAGTGAAGGAGGAGTAGAGGGAGCTACGGATTGCATGGAGGTTTTCCTAGCATGTCAATCCTCTTAGCCTAGCTTGCTAGTACTGAGCCCGCCGGGCGAGCAACACTCTCCCACAACCACAGCCAATCACAATTAGTAATTATTCCATTACATGTCATGTACGGAGTTAGTACATACTAGTGGAGTTGATCCACTCTGATCCTCGTTCACAATCCTTGCTTACTGGTCTTCAGATTGCTTACAGTCTACTGTCTAGTCTACCCTCGGGCCATGAACTGTAAAATGATGATATTATAGCAATGATGTCGATTGTCAAACAAATTGCCAAACCATGACGTCACCACAATATCAATGTCACGGCTAGGCTGTGAGTGTGAATACGCGTACCACTGGCATAGTTATGCGCTGCTTGTGCTTGTTGCTGAGTGGTGGTGATCATGCCACTACTGGCACCAGTAGTAGTAGTACCAGTACATGCATCAAATAATAATTGAAGTACATGTACTAACAGTCTAAACATGGGCTACTGCTAGTAGTTATCCGCTTAGCCTTGGGCAGTTCTGTGCCCGGATATCCACCTGCGTATGCGCGAACTCTTTCTTTCTCCCTTTCATCGCAGGCATTTATCGTCTGCTTTATGTACATGTACATGTACAATGTACATGTACATGCAAACGTCTTCATTATGAGCTTCATGTCAACAGTATATTGATATGCATAAAACAAAAAGCATAATAATCTGTGCGGAGAAAATGGACTGAGTACTGCACGGGATGTTTGGATACGGTGGAAGTAACAGAAGCTATCGTGTACCGCCCAACCGACTGGAGTGTGTAGGTCAGGACGCCTCATTTCAGGACTGATTGTAGTGCTCCCCGGAGCATTATACCTTCCACACTTCGAGTAAACAATAATATTATAACGTGATGGTAGTGCGACCATCTTGGTGACGTCAGCACTTCAGCTTATTACTAGCAATAACACAGAGTAATTTGTAGCTTGTTCGTTAGTAAAATTCAGCGCTGATAGCTTGCCCCGAGGGGAATTCAAGTACCAGCCTGGCAGGTACCATAGATAGTGAGCCTGCAACAAAGCCGGGCGTACACCATACAAGTAGTATGCCGAGTAGAGAGGAAAGTGGCGTTTACTGATGAGAGAGAGAGAGAGAGAGAGAGAGAGAGAGAGAGAGAGAGAGAGAGAGAGAGAGAGAGAGAGAGAGAGAGAGAGAGAGAGTGGGAGAGAGAAAGAGAGAGCGAGAGACAGAGATCCTGAGAGACAGAGAGAAAGAGAGAGAGAGAGAGAGAGAGAGAGAGAGAGAGAGAGAGAGAGAGAGAGAGAGAGAGAGAGAGAGAGAGAGAGAGAGAGAGAGAGGAGACAGAGATCCTGAGAGACAGAGAGAAAGAGAGAGAGAGAGAGAGAGAGAGAGAGAGAGAGAGAGAGAGAGAGAGAGAGAGAGAGAGAGAGAGAGAGAGAGAGAGAGAGAGAGAGAGAAGAGAGAGAGAGAGCAGAGAGAGACAGAGATCCTGAGAGACAGAGAGAAAGAGAGAGAAAGAGAGAGAGACAGAGAGAGAGAGAGAGAGAGAGAGAGAGAGAGAGAGAGAGAGAGAGAGAGAGAGAGAGAGAGAGAGAGAGAGAGAGAGAGAGAGAGAGAGAGAGAGAGAGAGAGAGAGAGAGAGAGAGAGACAGAGAGAGAGAGAGAGAGAGAGAGAGAGAGAGAGAGAGAGAGAGAGAGAGAGAGAGAGAGAGGAGAGAGAGAGAGAGAGAGAGAGAGAGAGAGAGAGAGAGAGAGAGAGAGAGAGAGAGAAAAAGAGAGAGCGAGAGAGAGAGACAGAGATCCTGAGAGACAGAGAGAAAGAGAGAGAAAGAGAGAGAGAGAGAGAGAGAGAGAGAGAGAGAGAGAGAGAGAGAGAGAGAGAGAGAGAGAGAGAGAGAGGGAGAGAGAGAGAGAGAGAGAGAGAGAGAGAGAGAGAGAGAGAGAGAGAAGAGAGAGGAGAGAGAGAGAGAGAGAGAGAGAGAGAGCGAGAGAGAGACAGAGATCCTGAGAGAGAGAGAAAGAGAGAGAGAGAGAGAGAGAGAGAGAGAGAGAGAGAGAGAGAAAGAGAGAGTGAGAGAGAGATAACGAGAGAGAGATAACGAGAGAGAGAGATGACAAGATGGTCAAGAAATAGTGTATATCTACCAAGTGGTATTCAAGTTCAAACTTCCCTCCGGCTCCGAGCTCCCTATACACTCATCCTGAGAGATCACGTTCCAACAACACAGCACAGTGCACTCTCATGGTACATGTACACAGAGGTTCAGCAAGGTCAGGGTGCACTACTGATGAGAGCACCAGAGATGCATGCATAATTATCTGAGGATCTAGGACTAGTACATGTACTAGGAGTAGCAAGACAGGTGAGAGCTCAGCGATCCCATAATTATGTGAGCCCCAGGAATGCATGCTGCGATATGAACATACATGAACATGGTAGATGTAAAAGCTGTGCAGACTTTAATTATCATAATGCATGGTGTAGTGGCAGTGCTAGGATGGCGGTGTTGGGGAGGGTGTTGGAGGGAAGGAGTGATACTAATGAATCATACATGTAAGTTCTTCCAGACGCGCTACCAGATTTATGATACTTACTCTTCCCGGCCTTGCAAACATCAGATGCGGAAAGTGATCAAATATTCCTCTTCTCCCAAAATAATAGGAATGCATACACTTCGGTATGAACAACTGGTGCATTATACAAGTAGATACCGGACCACTACAAGTG